CTTTCAATAAATTGTGGTAAGGACTGCACCAAAGACCACGGCATAGCACAGACATAATTACTCTAGAGTACATCATAGAAATTAAAAAAAAAAAATCTATGTGCCGTTTAGAAGAAAAAAAGTCATTCTAGAAGAAGCAAATACAAAAGAAATACCATGTGGGTGTACTATTCAAGATGAGCAGTTCATTTTATGTCCAGAACTCTGAAGCGGCTTTGGGGAGCTATTCTGGCACTGATTTTAACTATTTCTGTTAGTCGGTTTCTAGCTTTTCTATATATTAGATGCAGGTAATAAGTAACTAAAATACTTCTAAATATACTGAAAACATGTGTAAATAGATTTTCAGATGTTCTTTGATAGCAGTCCACTGATAGGACAAGGGGAAATGGGTTTAAGTTGAAGGAGAATAGATTTAGACTGGACCTTAGGAAGAAATTCTTCAGTATGAGAGCAGCAAGACGTTGGAATAAATTGCCCAGAGATGTTGTGGCTGCCCCCTCCCTGGAGGGGTTCGAGGCCAAGTTGGACGGAGCCTTGAGTAGCCTGATCTAGCTGAGAGGCATCCCTGCCCGTGACAGGGAGGTTGGACTAGATGATCTCTAAGGTCCCTTCCAGCCTAGGCCATTCTAGGATTCTATGACATTCTAAAAAAAAAATTCATGGGAAATTTCAGTGTGAATTACTCTAACTTTTAGCAATGACTTAGTTTGGAAGATGGAAATTTCTTAAAAGCTGTAATATCTGCACTCAGAGAAAGATACAGAAAAGCATCACTTAGCTGTCCATCTTCAAATTGCAGATTAGTTTTCTCTTCCAAAATGAAACAGCCAATCATCAAGAAAAATACTATAGCCAAAGAAGCAAATAGCTCACAAGTCTCTCACAGTAAAACACTGTATAATTGCCAAACTATTATTTGGTTTTTTGCAGCTCTTACTTCCAATGTATTGATTTTAACTTTGATATGAAGAAGAATATTAAAGGTTTCAATCACTTCGGACTTTTCTACATTTTCTACATCTTTCTTACCCTACCTAAAATTTCAGCTGAAGATGAACTGATGTTTCCTCCCCCCTCCTGGAGTGAGATGAGATTTCAAATTCCTCTAAATCTGAGTTCCTATAAATCACCCTAGGTTTTGTTCTCATCCCCCAGTTGTGGTTGCTTTCACTGAGAAAGCAACAAATGGTAAATGTATAAAACAAAAGAACAAAGTAGAGCAGCAACCTCACTACAGTATATAAAATTATTGCACTGGTCATAAGATGAAATGTACTCAGGGCTTGTAGCTAGGAACTAACAAGCTTTTTCCTGAGCTCCAAACATTCTCATCCTGAACTGCACAAATTTCCTCTCACCCGAGATTGCAGTATGGTTATGAATGAGAAGTCTGAGATGAAGGTAACAGGCCCCGACATTCACACGTTTCTGCTCAGTGGGTTATAACTTAAACATGGCTATAAATAAATTAATATAGAAATATAAAAATATTTCTTTCATATAGTATTACTTCTCTCTAATCTTCATTCTGCTCAGACAACTCCTTCCCAAATTATTTAAATTTGGTTTATTCGGAACAGGCAACCAGAATATAAACCACAGAAACAGTCCCCAGTGAAATCTCAGAATTACACATCCAATTTTTTCCATGAGGCTCTTCTGATGATGACTGTGAGAAGTGTTATATATTGCAAGATTCCAGCAGGATTTAACCTGTAACTGAGGCAAAAAAAAGGACGCTTTAGATCATGCTCAGATTTAGAATTTATGCATGTTGCTCAGTAAACAAGAATTTACACACCATACCGCTACGCTTTCTCCACCAGTATAGGAAGTCAACTGGACTTTCATGCTTTAGAGAGACAGACCCATTTTGCAACACACAGCTAATTTCAAATTCATCAGCTATTAACATTCTCTGTTAACCTCTCAATCATTCTCTTGGGGAAAAAGCAACAAGATAAAAAGAAAGGAGCAATCCACCACGCAGTGAATCAGATTGTTACCCGTCATGCATTTCTAGGTAGAAGATGTCAGTGAACCTCCCCTGTAAATTTCTTCCCAGTTATTAAAATCCTATTATTCCTATTATTACATTTCTAGAGAAGAAAGAAATAGGCCATCATTAGGACCAAAATTTCTTAGGGGACAGATTCATTAACAATAATTTCAGTAATTAGATCAATCAAACCTAAGTTTGCAGAAATTCCATCCTGCATTATAATATCCTGCTGATGGTTTAATTTTGTGGCAGATGCAATCTTTCCATGCGAATGCCTGAACTCCTGTTCAACGAAAAAGAAATTGTCAAGAACATAAAGCACTATGAAAGAGTGTTTTCTTAAGGTAGTGCCGTACATTTTTCTCTTGCACAAACCCTAATTTTATTCATAAACAGGCCTATGGGAGAAGTACAGCAAACAAACAGGACGGGATAAAATCTGCAAGATTTCCATTTGTTGGGTAGCAAAGAAGACGTATTGGACAGGCAGGACATCTGTAGAGGCCGCGTGGGGTGGGAAACACCAGCGCAGGCAGCACAAACCCTTTCCAACACCGAGGGAAGCAGTGCTCTGTGATTACCCTCATTTTCCCTCAGGCATCCAAACCCACCAGGCTTCCCTGCCAAGCTCCTGTCACCCACTGGCAACCACATTAAGAACGGTCGACTCTCAGTATTATTAGAATAAGCTAGTTTTAGTTATAGAAATGTGAATTTGGCAGTATTGCTACAAGCACACACAAATTATACAAATCAATTACTATTTGGAAAACAAACTGGCCTGTATTTACCACTGATCAATGACACAGCAGAATACTTAATGACACCCAAGCATTTGCAGAACATGCAAGCTGTGCCAACAAAATACATAAACTCAAGAGTCTTGGACTTCTACACAGAGCTCTTCAGCTAATGCCTCTGGACACTGATGATTTTACTGGGTATGTATCACACACCCATAACGGTCAGTTGCAACAGATGAATCCTTCAACACAGCTTTAGGATGAGATGAAGAATCTAACAATTCATTAACAAAGACTTTCATCTAGAGAAGGTTGGAACTATTAGAAGAAAATAAGATGACAGAATAAAAACTGTACACTGGATATAGCTGTGACAGCTCACATCCGTGAGTCCTTCAAGTATTAATATGACAGAATTTTTGGTAAAGTAACTTCACCAGAAAAGACTGGTGACAGAATAACAATAGAATTCTGCAAATCATTAGCTGACCAAAATAACATTGTAGTTTGCCAGCTTTCAGGAACATTGCCCATCTATTTTTTCCACCTAGAGGATGACTAAGGGACTCAAACACCTCCCCTGTGAAGACAGACTGAGAGAACTGAGGCTGCTTAGTCTTGAAAAAAGAAGGCTGAGAGAGGATCTTCTTAATGTATATAAACACCGGAGGAGTTGGTGTCAAGAAAAAGGGACCAGTCTCTTCAGAATGGTGCCCAGTAATAGGACAAGGAATATTGCATATAAGCTAGAACATAGGAAGTTCTGCCTCAACATGAGGAGAAACTTTTTCCCTGTGAGGGTGCCAGAGCCCTGGCACAGGCTGCCCAGGGAGGGTGTGGAGTCTCCTGCTCTGGAGACTTTCAAAACTCACCTGTGTGGCTGCCCTAGGCGATCCTGCTTTGGCAGGAGGATTGAACTAGGTGATCTCTAGAGGTCCCTTCCAACCACTAACATTCTATGATTCTCTTTTTCCCAAATTAGAACTATCACTACATAGTCAATCACTTGATCTTTATCAATGCGCAGCATAAGACGTGTGTTGCTGTAACACACTGTTGCTTATGACAAATACAAGATCACGCAATGCACCCAAAATCTCTCACCCCAACTAGAGAATTCCTACCTCATGACAGGAGAAGAGCCGAACTCCTTCCATCTGATGGAAGACAGGGTAGTGGGTGCTATCAATTGTGTCACGGCGGTAGACATCGCCCACAGCCAGAAAGGCATCCAGGCCAGAGTGTATCAAGTCCCACTGATGAGCTGACGTATGTGCTCTCAGCATGTGCTCACGATTCAAGTAATAGTTATCCTCTTTCCTTCTGCTGACGTGGCTTTGTGGGATAAGCAAACTATCAAAATTCTGGTGTACTGTAACCACCGGGGAAAGACCGTCATAGACTGAAAAGAGCGGAGTCCCACGGCGTCCTACGTACTCTTTGTAAAAGTGGTCCTTCACCTGCTCCTTGATGAGCCACAAAGGGTGATGCTTTTTGTTGTGCAAGTTCTTCCCCACCTTGGACAGAATCTTTTCTGTGACATTGCTGTAGTCATCCTGAGGGTAAGCTTTACCAAGCAGTTCCACAGTATTAGAGCAGGGCGTGTTGGGAGCAAAATCGGAAGGTACAGACTTGGATGAAGAATGCCTTGAATGGGTGGGAATTCCTCTTACCTTTACTTTTGGTGACAAAGCTGTTTTAGAATACTTAGCTACTCTCATGAATTTCCAGAGCATTGCCATTGCAAACTCCTTTATGATCTAGGAAAAAAAGAGAAAAGAAGGAGTTAGGAACTGCAATCTTACTGCAGGAATTGCTAAATACCTCAGGGTGAAATCCAAATGTCTGCTTGATTAAGATGACAAAGGTTCATAATAACCCACTATTTTGAGTTCAGATGAAGGAAAATACCCTTGTGATCAAATTTCAGTTGGGACATCTTATTTAATTATCAGTCTTCTGCATCACTACATCAATATTAATAACTCCAGACCTAGCCTTAACCCCATTCCAGATACTGCTGCTCTTTACAGCTGAAAAAACATCAGACCTTCTTTGAACACTACTTTTCATCTGGTTAAAATATGAGGTGATAACTGAATACTACTGATGAGAAACTCAGAAATTTAGCAATGCTCTTCAGCAGTCAGGGACTTGCTTATAATAAACCCCCAAGCATTAACTTATTGTTGCATTATCTCTCCCCATTAGCAGAAGCTACAGAAGGCTTTTCACATCAACCAGATGCATGTGGCACAGGTTAAGAAATCATCACCAACTCTTAATGCCAAACAAAACCAGTTTAACCTTTCAAACCACTGAACCACTGAGAAAAAAAAACACCCAGATGATGAGACCACAAGGCATATGTTTATCCATAAACAGCATATCAAGTATTGTGTGAGATTCACAATAAAGGCTTCACGTAGTCAGAACCAATGTCAGTGTTTCGGGGTGAGCAGATCAGGAATGTGAATGAAGTGATGAAATTGCCCCCTCCCTCGAGGTGTTCAAGGTCAGGCTGGATGAGGCCTTGAGAAACCTGGTCTAGCTGAGAGGTGTCCCTGCCCATGGCAGGGAGGTTGGGTTAGATGATCTCTAAGGTCCCTTCCAACTGAGGCCATTCTATGATGCTACGGAATTCCAAAAGACATGTGAACTGAACAACTCACTTCCTACCAAAGGGCCACCTTCACACACTCACCCTCTTCACAAGACAGGCTTCGTGCTTCGCCCATACACAGCTGCATTACTCCGTAGTGCTCAAACAGAGAATCCCAAATGCAAAGAGTTTTGAGGATCATGAGCCCTTCAGTTACTCCATATGCACAAGCCCATTCTGAGATACAAATTCACCTAAAAAATCTGTAGTTGGGCTTCACAAATATTAGCATAGGTTCCAGTAAAATAATTAAGCATTATAGAATGGGAAAGAGGCATCAGAAGTTATGTGACTGGGGAAAGAAATCCAGGGCCACAGGTTTCCCAGGTGAAGGATTTCCCTGTGGAAGTCTTCTTTAAGAAACAGGGGAAGAAAGGACATAAGCAATTAATAGACTACAGTCTTTGAGAGATAGATTTCTATCTTTATGTTAGGATTACAGTGCCTGGCTAGCTTTCCACAGGAATACAAGAGAAACAAGTATAAATAAAACAGAAAAACAACAACAAAAACGCGCTAAGATTACTTTTTATACTCTTAAACTCCAAAGATATATATGTGAGTAGAATAGACACAGCCTAGAATGGGCAATCCCCAGAACACAGATCTGTAAGACACAATGGGTACGATCATACTTGGCTTCCTTTCTTCTGGATGTTCCCTATAGGCCTATTTCCTGAAATAATTGTATCTCAATAAATGAAAATAAAAGCAAGTTGGGTAGTCACAAATTCAACCGGGCAGGGCAGGGTAAGATTATTAAATATTGGTATAATAATTTTTCCGGTTGAATATCTTAGAAAGGAGCAGCTACAGTTTTTATCTAGTTTTGAAACTTTTAAGAAGGCAACTTTTTTATTTATTTTTTTTAAGAGTTTGCAAAACTACTTCAGCAAATTATTTTTTGGCCAGTATTGACAAGGTTCTTCCATAAATGCAATCTGCACACACACACACCCACCCCAGAAACTCTCTGACATAGACTAAAGAAGGGATAGCCTTACATTTTGAAAAGAGGCTCCATTTTCCCCAAACATACGTTCTCCTTCATGGAAAGTGAGTTCTCATTTTCAAACAGCTGCTTGAAATACCCAGTTCTAGTAGATAATGAATTCAGCTTCCCTTAAATAAATACCACCATCTGCCCATACATTTATTTTTTCTAAAAAATTTTATTCAAAACTTATATGTAACTGTAACGTACAAAAAACTCTTGTGGCTTTATCACGAGTCTCGTGATGTTTTGCCGTTTTCCTAAATACCATTGCTCTGAGAATCAGACAACTATGTGAGAAGTTTAACTTCCACATAAACAGTTATTCTCATGATTATAACTTCATGGAGAAAAGAATTTAGAACATGAACCATAAGGGGAAGGGGAGGCAATGAGAGGGAAGGGACTCTTGTTCATTTAAGACTCATGATTTTTAAGGTAGACTAACACATACAAATCTAAGGGTTTTCAGTATTTGAAATGAGGAACACTGCTATCAGTTTCTGATAGTTCAGAAAAGCGCTTTTTTTTGGAGCAAGTGATACTTACTCTTCACAAACCTACAGATAAACTGGTATCAGAGGTTTCATACTAACATTATGCTTCTGCCTTAAATCATTACATTAGAGCACTGTCTGCACTAGTGCTCTAATCTAAGGCAAAATCTACTCTGAGCAATAAGAAAAAGAAGTTACAATTATCCAGCATTATCCGACAAGTTATCCGCTGTCCAAGTACTGCACCCAAGCAGTAAAGGAACCACTGACACGGTATCACCATGAGAGCACCAGAAACACTTAATTCCTCCAGAAACTCCTTCTCCCACCACAGACTCACGTATGCTACTTCCAGAATCATTAGAGAAAAATAGTATTGGATTCAGTTCAACCCAGCTGGTGATAAAATACATTTGGGGACAGGACCCACAGAGAAGGAAGGAAAATGCCATGTTTACAAGCTTTACATCATACAATAAAACTTCAAATCAAAGAAATGTTTACCAGGACCAAAAACAACACTGGAAAAGAAAGAAATCTCTTTACCTTCATGTTAGCGATAAATAACTGATGTTAAGGACACACTAATCCACTTGTAATAAATAGACAATTAATTCTAGCAGACATCTATCTAAAGGTCTGAAAAAGCAATTTAAATGTATCATTTTCTTCCTTCATCGCCACCATGCTTATTATTTGGCAGCAAACTGAAACTGGTTTCTGTGCACGCTGACAAAACCTGAATCCCAGAGGAAAGACTGCCAGGCAGCAAACAGCCACAGCAAGCCAACAGCAGCTGCAGGTCCTGTAGCTGAAAACAAATACATAAATGGGAATTAAACATTGAACAATCACCACTGGCATCTACAATCCAAAGATGGCAAAGCACTGCAGGACCATCACCATGTATGCTCTGGGCTTGTCGGTGGCTCCGACTCGCAGCTGGGAGCTGACGTGGGGTTTTGGAAGGAGGTTGCCCCACCAGCAGCTCCCAGGGGGGCTTCTCAAAGCACTGCAAGCACCAGGCCCACCACAGAATCATTAAGGTTGAAAAAGACCTGGAAGATCATCTAGTCCAACCGTCAACCCAACACTACTATGACCACTAAACTATATCCTGAAGTGCCACATCCACACGTTTTTCAAACAGCTCCAGGAATAGCGACACCATCTCCTGCTACACAGGTCCTTACCTCGGACCCCGCCATGGCCACATTCCCACGTACCTCAGCAGCTCTTCCAAAGCTCCACGGGCCTGTCCCTGTGCCACGCTCTCCACAGTGAGATGTCCAACACAACTGCACGAAGTCAGATCTTTGACAGGGATGATATAACACACTACGCTTTTGGAAACATGCCGGCATGTGGGTGTAAGCTTTTGAGCAGGTAGACCAGAGGGCAAGAGGTGGCACCCAGGGATGAAGCAACTGCACGAACTCAGATCTTCGACAGGGATGATATAATATGCTACGCTTTTGGAAACATACCAGCATGTGGGTGTGAGCTCTACCTTGAGCAGCTTCAAGGTAGACCAGAGTATATCAGATGCTTTTGTTCAAGTTCATAGAATCATAGAATGGCATGGGCTGGAAGGGACCTTAGACATCATCTAGTCCAACCTCCCTGTCATGGGCAGGGACACCAGGCAACACATGGGGACGGAGCAGGAATCGAACCCGCGACCTTGGTGTTGTCATTGTTGTCAGCACCGCGCTCAACCCACTGAGCTAACCGGCCCCCTAATAGACCAGGCACAGGTGTAACCACACTTGCCAAAGTCAGTCCTCTACCACAGACCCCGCGCCGTTCCCACAGCGGTTTCATCTGATTCAGGAAGTTCCTTCATCCCTCACAGAAAACCAACCATCCCCTGCGCAGCAGCACCACAGACGTGACACGGTCAGGAGCTTTGCAACAGGGTAAGGGCAGAGAGACACTAAAAAATATTGTGCTTTTGGAGCACGTGCAAGAGGCAGGTTGATGTGACAAGGGACCACATGGCTGCACTGCTAAGGCATGTCCTTTCATGTCTAAATCCAGGTTTCCATCTCACAGCGCAACAAGGATTAAGACGGCATTATCACAGCCGTAGCGGTATTTGTCACAAGTCCCCTCGACTCCCCTGAGGTTTTAGGAAAGCGTTGCAGACTCGGTGAAATTCCTCCTTACACCTACGTTGAAAAAGGAGAAGAGGGCGAGTTTAGCAGCGCACAGCAAAAAGAAAAAGGTCGGTGCACCAGCGCTGTTTTATTCAACCTAGCTCTCCTCGGAAAGTGGGAGAGTGAAAACGCTCTTGCTTGAGCAAACTGGAGCCCCGCAGCGACCGCGAGGACCTGTTTTCGGGGCCCTTGGCTACGAACCACATCTGGGAACCAAGGGCATCCTCACCCTCGCCAGCCGCTTTTCTGTGTGCCCTGGGCTTCTTACTGTTTGTGGCTGCAGAAACACAGATGGGCCACCGCATACATAAACTGAAGTACATGACGGTTTGAAACCAAAATTCTACAAAGATGGGAGTCTGTCTCCTCTCCAAGAATAACTAATTAATGCAAGGCTCTGAAGTGCCATGGAAAATGTTAGAAAAGTTGG